ATTTCGACTAGATAAATACGAGCTATTTTTAAAATAAAATAAAATTCCTTTTTAAAGTTATCTTTAAAATGACTGTTTTACCATGAAAATAAACAGCGTACCTTATTAGAAATTTTCAATAAAATATCACGAAATATTACGAATGTTTTATATCACCAAATGTGCACAATAAAAATTTCCTACCAATATATCTCAAATTATAAATGGTAATCTAATATAGATTTATTTATTATATTCAATATTGTTTTCTTTTGGAAGTATTCTAATTTTTATTAGCAAATATATCTTTAACAGTTAGTGTTTTTTGTTTTTTCTTATCACAATTGTTTTGATAATAATATAAAAAATATCAGTTATTAATTCGATTTTGAAAATTTTCAACAAAATTTATCATCACAATACTTTAAATATTTATTAAACATTTAATATTATCTGAAATAATTATCATCGTATGGGAAAATGATATGTCAACACAACCCATTTTAACAGTGAATAACAGACATATGTGTAGTTCTAAATCTTGAATTTAAAGAGTTCTCTCGACCAAAAAAAACTAATCAAACGTTCTCACTAATACTTTTTTCGTATAGTGACCAGGAAAAATTCAGATTATTTTCAATACATCTATAAATATAACTTCAATAGCATCGTTAATTGTTATTTTTATTGTTTGATAGTACTAATTAATTACTTAAAATAAAGTTTATACAAATTATAACACTACTGTTTTTTGTGGAACTCACATGTATTTTAGAAGAAAATAGTGAGTATAACTTTTAAATCGAGATTTTGCGGCTCCACTCCCCCCTCCCTATCCTCCATAGGCCCCCACCATTACAGCCCCATAGACCTTCGTTTCGGAGCTATGACCGATTTACTGGATTTTCGGCCCATAGCGAGGTATTTAGAAAGAAATTGAATGACAAAATTTTGACCTGATGCCTTGCCATGGGCCGAAAATCCAGTAAATCGATCATAGCTCCGGAAGGAAGACCTATGAGGACTTGTCCTTTTTGACGTTTTTCTAGTCTGACTAGGTCCTACCTATGGACAAAATATCACTTTAATCACTTGGTGAAGTTTCCTCGTAAGTATCATTTTACTTGAGACATATACTAGTCGGTAAAGCTTGAAACTCTGAGTCTACTGAATCTCACTCTGATCTCTTCGGAGAAAAAAAGTATCACGAAAATAAAAAGTAAAAAACGTTTTTTAGAATGATGTGTCTTGAATAGAATCCGAAGGCGGTTCAACCGTACTTTGATACTCTGAATGAAATTTTCTAATCCGAAATGGATAGTCATCCCCGAAGATACGAGATATATCTCTGCTTCATATTTTTAACTGACTAAATCCATCAGGCATTTACCACAGTTTCATCTAATGTCATTTTTCGAGAATATCTATTTGTTTGAACTTTATCGACTAATATTATTTTCAAGTAAAATGAACGTATTTTATTAATACTTCTATTTAAATAAATCCTGATTCTTTTGCTTATAGATATTGGGATGGTGATCATAAAAAATATGTAACTATTTTATTTAATGATGAAGTTGATACATATGATCAAGTCATACATGTTTAGTTGATCGTCAAGGTCGTACAGCTATACGTATTGGTACAATGGAACAATGTCGTCATGTACAACAAACAATACGTATACGTACAGCTGATGTTCCACTTAACATGTGAAATATATCCAACTTCATTTATATCATTACAATATTTTGCACAAAAACTTTTAAATTATTTACAAAATATTATTAAAATATCTGATGGTTTTCGTCGAATATTTTGTGAATGTGAAATTGAATGTGATGATGAATTAGATGATATAACACGTACAGAAAAAGTTTTATTAAGTGAAAAAATGCTTTAAAAAAGTGCACGATCAGCTTTACATGAAATTTTTATTAATAGGTAATAAGAACAAAATATACATACAAAGAATTTGAAAGATTAATATATGATATATTTTGTTTCTACTTTTTTTATGGATTCAGAATGGAAAAAAACTTTTGGAATTTTGTATATCAAAGTAAGATTAATATTGTTATTATTATTGTAATACGCAATATGAGTAGCTTGAAATTATTATTATAATGAATTGTAAACGGTTAGATTAGGGATGAGCTTTCAAAGTAAATTTTCCTTGTATTGAAATGTTGAAAAAGGCAAAAAGCACTTAATCAATCTCCTGAGCCATTCACCTCCCATTCCTATTCTAGCGTGACCTTCGAGACATTCATGATCATAGAGTTATTGTATAGTATATCCAGATTTTCTCTTCTGGAAAGGCAAACATCTATTTTTGGAACATCGTACATATTTCAATAATTACAAATTCTGGACGAGCCAATCTGATCTTCGGAGAGGTGTCACCTTGCTGCCTTTCATGCTGGATAAAATACCGATATACAGATAATCTGATAAAAATGAAAAGTTTTTAAAAATTTCCTAATCAATAGTTTTCATTCATCTAACAAAAGTAATTACTAGAGGAGAAAAAAAAAAGTTAACTAAAGTTACTCATATTGCATTATTAATTAATATTCGACGAGAAAAAACGATAATACAATGTCATATATTATTTAGAATTATTCTACTATTTGGCGAAATTTTGTCAAAGATCCCGACGAATATGTTTCATTCACTGATCTTTCTGTTCAAGTCTACACTGTATCTACACTGGTAATAATTAAGTTGAGTTGAATAAAAATAAAACGATGAATGCATGTTGTTAAACATAAAAAAAAAATTTTTCGTTTTTCCTCGTCGATATAATAAAAATAAAAAGCGAATAATTTGATTCTTTCTTTTTTTGTTTTTTTTGTAATCTAATTTCTAGTGTTATTCGATGATCATACGACATTATCGAAATGATTTTTCATTCCTTTATCGTAGTGAATGTTTTTTAAGATTATCAGTACAATTATTTACTACACATAGTCTCGTAAGAAACAAAAAAAAAAATTTATATTTAAACGACATGCATTCATATAATTTTGTGTTGATGAAAAATACAAAAAAAAAATATATACATATATATTTAGGCAAAATATTTAATCTCATCACATAATGCATTTGAAACAATCGTAGATTCATTTCTTGAATATTGTCAATCAAAACTTGATCATAGTAAACTTTTATTTTCAAGAGCAACAAATGCATCAATACAACATGAATTTCGACGTGCACAATCAATTCTTTATGATTTAAAGTATTTGTTTAGTTTTTTTTAATGCTAATTTATTTATTTAAAAATAATCTTTTCTTTTAAAGATATTTATTAGGTGTTGCACCTCAAGAATATACAACTGAACTTCGAGAAAATTTTCTCAATGGTTTTCGAGCATTTCTTCAATTATTAACTTATATGCATGTAAATAGATTTTTTTTTCTTCTATTCAAAACTTTTTATTTGTGGAATTCACATGATGTTTTTCGAGAAAAAATATATTGAACAGCTCCTGCTCTTAGTAATGGGGGCAAGAGGCCAACAGACGCGAAAACTTCTTATCAACAGAGAAAGGTGCTGACCGGTATTAACAATAAGACATAGACCCTTCTTACAAATTTCAATGTCTGTATTACGTTTGTGAATGTTCTAAATAGTGCAATTTTTGATTATCGAGATGACCTATTCTAGATCTAATGGACATGTATAGCAGCCTTATTTCTCAGCTAAATCAATGATTAGAATAATAAGAAATACGAAAAAGATAAATAGTCAGTGGATATCAACAAGGCAAACAAAAATTATAGCATCAATTAAAAACAAAAGAACAAATTCCTGTTCGAAATGAAGAAATAAATAGGACAGATAGTTTCCCGCGCGATTACGTATTTTATATTAATATAATGATCCTAAAGAACATATGTGAGTTCCACATTTTAGCCCTCAAAGGACCTTCACTGACAAACTTTTTCCTTTTCTATGAAATAATACCATAAATACATAGGGTATGGATAAAGTAACACGACAAGTTGGACAATATGTAGAATTTGATCCGGAATGGGAAACAGCATTTAATTTAGTTATCAAAATTCAATCAATTATTTCATCCATATTAGATTGGTGTACACGAGATGTAAGAACAAAAAAAAAACAAAATTATTCTTGTATTTCATTATAGAAAGAATTATTACTTGATGCATATGAAGCAACAGGTTTTGCATTAGCAGAAATACAAAAAACAAGTGATGTATCACATTTAATTAAAGATAAAAATAATTCATCTATTGTTAAAACAACTGTAAATCATCTTAAAATTGATTGTTATGTATATGATGTTGCAAAATATCCAATATCAGTGCATATTTCTGTTGTTAGATTAATTGTTGGTAAGATTTTAATATAAACAAAAACAAAAAAACCTAATAATGAAATTAACAAGAATAATAGTTAGAGATACAGTAATGACCAAAATCATTACTTTCGATTTAATCTTACTTCCATAGTATACACAACACCCTACAAGTAGTACCAGCCGGTAGTCCTGTTAGTGTATTTATAATATTATATAACTTATACTGTCTTCAAGCAAATATTAAAGTATCGTAATTAAATAATACAACTTTGCTTCAAGGGAAAAAAAAAGGAACGAATATCTATAAATTTACTTATTTGAGTCTTATTTTTTATTTCTCACAATATCTAATTGACTAAATAATATATTTTTTTTTCTATATTTAGCTCTTCATATTTATCTTCAAAAATATACAAATACAGCAACAACATTTAATAACCTGGTTAATATTCATTATATTTTTATTTGACAAATAAATGAATTTGAATATTTGTTTTTTTTTTATTTAGTGTGAAAAATTAACAATCTGTCTATGTTTTATATATGAAGAAGCATTACGTATTCAAGTTCTTTGTGCTCAACATGTTGCTGGTCTATGGAAACGAAATGGTTATTCATTATCTAATCAAGTAAATATGAATTTTTCTAATAATAAAATACAAACTAAAAATTTGTTTAGATTTATTATTATTCAAATGTTAAATGTCGAAAAGAAATGTATGATCGTGATATTCTTGCATTACAAGTTGGTGCTTCATTAACACCATCTGATACATATTTAATTCAACTTATGCATAGATTTAATTTATTAGAATGGATTCGGTATGTATTTAGTTTAAGGCAAAAAAATTTTCCATAATATTCAAGGATCAAAAAGTAGATTTTCGCATGACGAGAGATTTCACAGTCACCCCTATACCCTTCTGGGACATCGAATTCGAAGAAGTCAACAAACAAAACAGTTTTTCAACTGGCAATTAGAAATATTAAATCATAGGTTTAAAACCGATGAAATAAATTCGCATCAGTTACTGGTCGGATTACATTTTATTGATCGGAGACTAAAAAAA